AAAGAAGTACGTCTTTACCTTCTGTTAAACTTTAGATTGGAGTTGGCCAAAATGCTTCAGCTGTGCAATCTTCGACGTTTGCATATGCTCTGTGAGGTGGTGACTTACTATCCCATTGAAGTGGTAGGAGCCACCTCTGTATCTGGAAGAGTGGTGTCCAACCCATCAAATTATGTAAGTTTATGAGAATTTACCTTAAGATTCATCAACCGTTGCCATTGAGCTTGTACCACATCGTGTCCTCCTTCTGCTTCAGTTGTTATTGAACTCTCTTCGAGCTTTGAAGTGCAAGTGGGAGGCTCATTCAGAAATTGGAGTTAATAAATCAGGGGAGATTATTCAAGGGTAACGGCACTTTATCTGGTCGTTTTCCCCCTTTCTTTCCGAGTGATGGCTTTAGTTTTTGCTCATTTATGATAGCCTTGGTTACTTGACAATAGGAGAGCCATTACAATTGACACTGTCTTCCATGGTTGAGGTAATAATTCAAATTTTCCGGCAGCAATTCCGATGATCAGTGTTTATTATTTCTCTTCCTGGCCAAGGTTCCACGTGGTTCCAAACACTTGCCCAAGTATAGTGTTGGAACACCCAAGTATACTTGATTTGAAGTAGAGACCCTATTTCTCCCAAATCAAATAGCACATCAATCCACTCTTGGATAGCAATTATTCTTATAGGTCGGTGTGGTTCTCTTTGACAATTCATCTGTCCTCTTAATGGAGAATCAAATTAAGATAGTGAGTTGCTGAGGCATTGAGTCGTCAACTTATCCAACAGTCCCTAGATGCTTTTATGCTTTCGGGATTTGGTCATTTATGCAGCAGAAGGTCCTTGCCATTCAGCACATTCGAGCCACAATGAATTAACTGAAATGAGTGGTGTGAATCCCCTTTTGTGTTCGTTTGTTGTCTCTTCCGCACCTTGCTATCACTGTACACTCCTAAGTTATCGTTTCTTAGAGGTAAGGGTTGCTTTGTATTTATCTTTAACTATGTTTCAACCTCAGTATAATATGGATTGGTTTGGTTAAAAAGAGTTTATGTTGGGAAAGTGAGACGTTCTTCTGACTATTTTACTTTCAATAAACAAACGAATCTGAATTAACCGAATGGACTCAGTATATCATTTCCGTCATCACGAACGGCGTGATTTCGTCTATCTTGCTTAATACCTTGCGCTTATAAAAAAGTGCAGATTGGTCCTCATTGCATGACTTAAATCGATTCGTGCCTTAACAATCTTAAGGCGCTAGTCTTCGTCATAAATAATTTCTCTACTTTCAAGCAGAGCCTCAGAAGAGCAAAAGCTCCTGCGGTTCCCCCCAGGAACATGTGGACGCTTGCAAAATACAAGTGCTTTATGTGTTGGTTTGTTGTGGAGTACCGCTTGTTTTCTATTGAACCCATCTTTTACCCTGAAATACTGGCTGGGCGAACCTGATTGGTGCAATTGGATTTCATTTGCCCCATAAACCGGATCAAGTGCGCCTTCAGAGTCCCAAGGGCTTTTCTTAGTGCTTTACTTCGCCGAGAAGGGAGTCTTTCCACAGTTAAAGTCCTGAGGATGAGTCAGCATATACTGCTGGATTACATTGGGGAGAGCCATCTCTTCCCGATCGCAAATGGGGTGAGAAGTACGCGTTGCAAGTGGTTGGAATAGCTGCAAAATTCTCATTATTTCCAAGCATGTTTTGCAATTGCACCAACAGGAAGTAAGTCGCATAATTCAAGAGATTGAGTTTTCCCGCTCGAATAACGGCCGATGCTAAGTGATGAGCGCAGGCATATTAAATTATTTTCAATTAATTTTCTGATGCAGAGATATGCTTTTTTAAATTTCATCACTGTGTCAAACTGGATCATGCTCAACCTCATGACTGCATTGTATATAGGTGCAATTGGCTGCTGATGGATCTGTTCATGAAGGGAGGGTTACTTGTTGAAGGCCAAACATCAGTTTCTGTTGAGATTTATCTGTTTGTTTTAATTCAATTGACCGTAAGGCACATAACTACAGACATAAACAGGAATATTTACTCAACTGGTCGGCAGCCTTCATGAAAACAGCTTAGGAGGGAGAAGAGGTAGAGATGCTGCCTCGCCTCTCTTCCCATGTCTTTCTGATGGCGTCTCTTCATACGATGGCAGTAACTTTTTGTCGTATAAAGTAGGCGAATAGACGTTGTTTTGATTAGCTGAGCTGATTCATTTTCGTCCACTATCCTGCCAACCAATGCGCTAGGGTGCTTTGAACAGACTTATCATTGACATTGGTGATTCATTGCATTGTCAAATGAAGTTGAGGTAAAACCATTTTCAAAGAGGAGCTTTGTTTGCTTTATTTTAAAAGTTGGCAGAGCATTGTAGACATTTGTCCCAACTGTTTTAAGCCGGTATTAGGTGTCGGTCCAAGGAGCTTTTATTGAGAGCCGATAGGTGACGGGAGCTCACTATCCTTGGTTAGCTTTAGCTTATGGCGATGTGGTTAAATTATCATGCTTCTTTACTACTCTGAATACCTATTTGTGGGTATCCTTTACTTTTTTTGCTGACATATATCACCGTTGGCATCGATTTGAAAGCTTTAAATGCCATTATTTGCTATGGATGTTCATTGATTTTGAAGTTGAATTACCTAACTTCTTGCTACTGATAGGTCTCGGCACGGTTTACGACCATTTCTTGACTATCGATATATTCATCTATCAGTAATCTGAATTCTCCTGTGTCGAATGGCATATCCTTTTCTTATTTATCTTTCTGTTATCTACTATGAATTCAGCTATTCATTGGCGATCTTTGGTGTTCAGTAGTCGTCGACCTTCCCGAACATATTCCATCCCTGACTCTACAAAACTTCACTTTTCCTTCGTCAGCTTTTGACAATCTGCGGTTTATTGCTACTGGAAAGTGATGCCCCGGGAACAACCACTTCTACCGCACCAGCCTCTTGGGTAGACATGGGTAACGGGATGCTGACACACAAGAAGCCCTCTTGCCTCATCCAAGATGGCGGGGAAGAGGGACAGCGTTTGTCCCATTCATTACGTAGCCTCCTTCTCACCAATCGGATGTCTACAGCATGTGCTGGCCTCTTTCACGTCGTCTGCCTTTTGCGGCTGCTCTCCACTATTTTGAATGTGCCCTTGAGGTATCCCATGGAGGAGGCTTCTTCAAATCCAAATGATGCATTTCGGCCAAGGATTTTGGATCCGTTCGTGGGTGATCAATTTGAGGGCAGGTTAGTTCGCCTTACGACTCTTCTAGCTCTTTGCATTCAACGAAACCACGAGGGTGCCTTCCTCCAGAAGATAATTGTGGTAATCAAATGAACTGACGCTAGCAGTACATTGACAAATAGTGAATTGTCTTAATGGGATGCGATGGGTGACCCTATTTGAACAAAGTTTTATTAAAACGTGGTCATGGAGTGCATAGTTAGTGCGAGTCAGTTCAGGCCAAATCGAGGCTTTTAGGTTGAATGGACACAAAGACACGTTTTAGCAGGTGGACTTCGCCTTTGTATTTCGACTC